AGAGACCCAGCGGGCGGGCTCGAACTCATCTCGCACGCTCTCAACCTCATCTCGGGGCGTTTCGAGGTGCTTCAAGTGGAGGACGCATCCGACTTCCGCACGGCGAAGCGCTTCAAGTTGTACCAGCAGAAGAGCCTGCTGACTTCTCGACCCTTCAAGCAGGCGATCGCAGACATGGCGGCAATGGACCGTGCGGCAAGCGGATATGCTCGTGCCAACCGCGGCGGAAACAACGCGCCGTTGCCGTTTTTACCCAAGCGGGGCCCCCCGCCCACGGCCAATTGCCGCGGGTTTCGGGGCTCGTGCTTCCGCTGCGGCCAGCCGGGCCACGTGGCAAGTGCCTGCCCTAGGAACGGGCACGGCGGCCAAGGACCCGCTCCGGTGGTGTAGGAGCGGGCCATGGGAATAGACGCTTGAGCGCTAGGCACGGTGCACTTTTGAGTGCGAAAACCGTGGGCAACCCTAGGGGTTTGCGATGGCAAGAGGCCAGCCCTAGTGAAGGGTAGGAATAGGCTTTGGGCCTAGGATAGGGAAGGGGAGCAACAACCCCCTCGGTCCCATGTGGTTCACCGCTCGGTAGCATGATGCATGCTAGGAGAGCATTGCTATGTGTGTTGGTTGAGTTGATTAAAAAAAAAAAAAAAAAAAAAAAAAAAACTACCTTCTTAAAGGCCTACTGTTTTGGCAAAGAGACTCTGAAACAATCAAGAGGAGGATCAGAGAGAGAGAGAGAGAGAGAGAGAGAGAGAGAGAGAGAGAGTGTGCGAGAGAGCGAGAAAGAGAGAGAGGGGGAGAAAGAAAGAGAGAAAGAGAAAGAACGAGATACAACATGGTGGGCACGCATGTCCATGATTCTACGCACCAGCCCCCATGAACTACGAGTAAGAGAGAGCATGAAAGAGAGAGGGAGAGGGAGAGAGCGAGAGAGAGAGAGAGAGAGAGAGAGAGAGAGAGAGAGAGAGAGAGAGAGAGAGAGAGGGAGAGAGAGAGAGAGAAAGAGAAAGAGAGAACAAGAGAGAATAAGAGAAACACAATGGACAAGTGTGTCCATGGCCATAGGCATCATCTCCCATGCACTAAGGGCAGGCACAACCACATCCTACCGAGTGCACGCTGGGCCGAAAAAAAAAAAAAAAAAAGGAGGAAACGAGGAGAAGAAGAAGCGCCGTTTCGCGCCCGACACATTCGTTGACATTTCCGTCGGTTGTTATTTTCTTCACACATTTGATCAATGGTTGCCCGTACATGTACATGCACACACATGCTTTAACATGGAATACTCAACCCGTATACCACTTGGCCTCCCATGCACAGGAGCACGACGGTGCGAGGCGGCATGCTACGATGACCCATACGAATTTGCCGTTACAGACAGAACTATTACACAGATGCGCGGTCGTCTTCGCGCGACCTTTGCGTGGTGGAGCTCATGGTGCCCCAGCAGCCTCGTTCTCTCCGTCATCGCCAAGGGTTACTGGTTGCCATGGAGCCACGGCCCACCACAACCTTTCCACGATCGCAATCATGTCGGGGCAAACACACATGCTACGTACACACGTACCGCCATCCAAGAACTCATAGAGACGGGAGCGGCAGTTCCGATGGCCGCAACGGAGCTCAAGTGCATAAGTCCACTTAACGTGGTCGAGCAAAAAGACAAATGCAGGCTCATTCTTGATCTGAGAAAGGTCAACGCTAACTTGATTGTCCCCAAGTTCAAGTACGAGGGGCTCAGCCGTGTCGCCGACCTGGCGCGCGTTGGGGACTGGATGTTCTCCATTGACCTCAAATCCGGTTACCATCACATCGACATCCACCCATCGTGCTGGAAGTTCCTTGGCTTCGAATTCGATAGGCGCACATACGCATTTCGTTCACTACCATTCGGCCTCGCGACGGCTCCATTCGTCTTTACACAGCTCATCAAGCAACTAGCTCGGCGTTGGCGAGAACAAGGCATCCGAGTCGTACCTTACGTGGATGACATCTTATTCCTCTGCCAGTCGAAAGCCGATGCGCAAGCAATCTGCCAGCAGGTGATATTGGACCTCAAAGAGGCAGGCCTTGTGATAAACGCGAAGAAATCACAACTGTCACCATCGCAACATCTCCGATTCCTGGGCGTAGAGCTGGAGACCGACACCGGCCGATTCTCCATCGGTCCCGACCGACGAGCCTCACTACATGCAACCATCCGGAACCTCCTGAGCGCAAGCAGGGCATGCCGACCAGTCCCGGTCCGCCACGTGGCCAGAATCACTGGCATGCTTGCATCGATGGGTGTCGCACTTGGCGCGACCGCTCGCGCATTCAGCCACGCTATGTTACAAGTGATCAACGAAGCACCGTCATGGAAAAGCAGCGTGGTTATCCCCCCATCTGCAGCAGAGGAGCTCCAATTTTGGCTCGAGGAATTTGACCGTTTCAACGGCGCACCTTTTCGCGTCAGGAACAGCTACGACGCAGTAATCCATGTGGATGCCAGCTCTCATGGTTGGGGCGCCACTCTGACCACATTTCCGAGCGGCCTCGAAGAAGCTAGCGCAACCATGTCAGAGCCGCTACAAGGAACGTCCAGCACGCGACGGGAGATCGAAGGCGTCCTTTGGGCGCTCCAAACATACGCGACCAAGATCAAGCAAAAACACGTTCTCGTGCGGGTGGACAACCAGGGCGTGTTCTTCATCCTTCGAAAAGGCGGCTCTCACAGCCCCGACCTCGCAACGGCATGCAAGAGCATCATCCGAACATGCATGGAGCTTGGCACGCGCTTGATCATCGAATGGATTCCGCGCGTGCTCAATACACACGCTGACGAACTTTAAAAAATGGTCGACCACGACGATTACGCGCTGAAAACGCCGTGGTTCCGCATCTTGGAACGTCGTTGGGGGCCCCACTCTATCGACCTCTTCGCAAACTCCCGCAACACCCAACTGCCGCGCTTCTGCACAAAGATTCCCCACCCAGAAGCTATCGCAGTTGATGCGTTCTCGATCGCGTGGACACCCGAAAACAACTTCGCCTTCCCCCCGCCCCAACTGGTCCCAGCCGTCCTCCATCACGCACAACGCACCCATGCATCACTCACACTGATAGTTCCGCACTGGCCAGGCGCAAGCTGGTGGCCACTTTTGCAACCCTCCCCATGCACTTGGGCTCCACACATCCACGCGCACATCCCTCTGACACACGGAAGCCAATGCCTAGACGCAGGGTCCCATTCCAATGCTTTTTCAGGCATGGGACTACCGCACAGCCCAATTATTGCACTGAGAATGGCATTTGACTAATTCAAAACATCAACGCCCTGTGTTCAGATTTGCTCCCAAAGTTACACGACGAAATGATCAACATGCTCGCGCAATCTCGCGCCGATTCTACGATCCGGACATACGAACCATACTGGGCCAAGTTTCGAGCCTTCTGCACAAAAGTGAACCTCCCATTTCTTCCGGCATCCGACATGACCCTCGCGCTCTACCTGGTACACGCAATCCGACGCAAAGCCACCCTGTCCGTAGTGCAGCTGACGTGCTCGGCGGTCAGCTTCGCTCATCGCATGACTGGGAGCAAATGCCCGACAACCGGACCGTTCACCACCCAAGTCCGTGACTGTGCAAAACGACACTGCCCTCGCCCTACTCGTATGAAGGAACCCGTATCGATCCAACAAGTCCGGGACATGGCCGCGGGTTACTTGCAGTCTGACGATCCCGCGACGTTTCAGAAAGGGTTGATCCCCATCCTCATGTACTCAGGATTCCTGCGATATTCGGACCTGGCAGCCATAAAATGGCAAGACATCCAATTCGACGACGAGGTCATGTGGATTCTCATACCACACTCCAAGACCGATCAGGCTGGTCATGGCACTTGGATTCCCATTGCATCAACGACAGACCCTTGTTGCCCAGTGCGCTGCACCCGACGCTTCATCCAACTGGCCGGCTATGGCCCACAGTCAGAGGGACCATTGATTCGGGTCTTCGGCCACGCTTCAACCAGCAAGGGCCAAGCAAGGCCACCCTCATACACCACGATCCGGAACTGGTGCAAGGAAGCCTTCGCAAAAGTGGGCCTTGGAGACCTGCAGCTCGGCACACATTCTTTCCGAAAAGGTGCAGCCACAGTAGCAGCCAACACGGGCGTGCCAGACAGGGTCTTCAAACGGCTGGGCAGATGGCGAAGCGACTCAGCAAAGGAAATGTATGTTACACCATACGTCGAGCCTCTTATCGAAGCCTCCCGTAACCTACAAGACCTGACGCATGCAGCGTCATCGGCACAACACTCAGAGGCACTCGTACGCAACCGGAGGCCCCCGCTGCCCATGTCTCAGAGACCCCATTTGTAATGAGAACGATGCCAATTGATAAGAATAAGAAAGCAAGCTTTCTCAATATTATAATTTTTAAATACACATTGTGTTTTTTAAAATTGTGTATTGTGAAAGCGAAGCTGCTTGTACTGCACAATTGGCATCGTCGAAGCGCGCTAAACGCCCTTCTCCAACTACAAAAACCGTGGGTTGGAGTTCATTTCACTCCACCCACGTTTCTCGATTTTCAAACGGCTCACTCAACACTCCCACCACCCACCCCAGAGTAAACCGCCTTGCTAATGCCACTTGGATAGGGCACATCTTAGCTAGTGTTATTCGATTGCACTAGCTTGTGTTCAACGTTGAGGCAAATGTTGTAATAAGCCATTTGTAATGAGAACGATGCCAATTGATAAGACTAAGAAAGCAAGCTTTCTCAATGCTTGTATTTGCATGTGTTAATCATCTCAATCATTTTACATTCACTCTGAGTTGAGGTCAAGGGCCCACCACTACCACACACTCTGCGAACCTTCCCAAGGTGATCCTGGTTACGATCTAGATTTTCTGATCGCAGCAGCATGATACAGATCAGCTGAATGTTCTCTACTTTTACTGCACCCTCTTTCTGGGCATGCTAGCCCAGAGATGCAAACATAGCGTAATCAATCACCAATCAATTGAAAGGGCAAACATCCATTCCCTTGGCAGTGAGAGGCCTAGCTAGGCACCTCTCAGTCCATGCGTGCACCCTTGGAAACTCCTCCAGTCTTAGCTGCTCCTCGCCGTTATAATATTTCTGTACCGAGTGGACGGGGTGGGTTTGAGGGGGGGAGGAGAGGGAGGGGGGGAATTGGGGGGGTGGGGGAGGGGTAGGAAGAGGAGAGGGGTGGGGGGGAGAGAAGGGGGGGGGGGGAGTGGGGGAGGACAGGTGGTTTCAACAAATAATGAGGTAAGTGTCAAAAGGGTAGGGGGAAACGATATAGTGAGCAAGGGGACAGCCAAGTTGCGAGGAGGAGGGAAGTGGCAAGGGGGGGGGCATGGGGGGAGGGAATGTGTAAAACCAAAGAACATAACCGCCGAAATTAGCACCAAGGTCACAGAAAGCACACCTTGAGGCATATGACCCAGGGGAAGGTGGCAATAACAGTGATGGTACACGCGGCATCAATAATGAACTCCCTTCCCTGCAGCCAACCACTTCTTCAGAGGCAACCTGTAGTAGCAAAATCAAATCAAACTTGCCACTCACCTTGAGGCAGATGACCCAGGGGAACGTGGCCATGTCAGCGATGGTGTAGCCAGCATCGATGAGGAAATCCCTCCCTTCCAGCCGCTTCTCCAGCACCCCCAGCAGCCGCCGCGCCTCGTTGGTGTAGCGCTCGGTGGGGTACGGGTGGTCGCACTTGTCGCGCGCGTACTTGAAGAAATGGCCGAACTGTTGGGAACAATGAACACAAGGAGGCAGTTAGGAAAACAGGGGGGTATGTCTTCCAGCGCACTCAACCCACAGCTGGGTAGGGAATGGGTGGTCGCACTTTTCCTGGTCAAAGACATGTTAGCATCAGATTTATCACCCAGTCAAACATGGGTGGCATCAGATGTCTCACCTGGCCGAACATGGGTTCAACACTGAACACCCCACCTGGCCGAACATGGGTTCAACACTGAACACCCCATCTGGCCATACATGGAACCCATCCGAATCAAATCACTCGCCTGGCCGAACATGGGACCGACGCCGCCCATTTGGAAGAAGAGCCAGGACAGGGTCTCCCATCGCTGCACGGCATCCTGCGGCAGAAACTTGCCCGACTTCTCCGCCAGATACAGCAGGATGGCCCCGCTCTCAAATACCTTCAACGGGGTGCCGTCTGCATCACCGATTTACATGTTGAAAGAAACAAACAAACAAACAAACAAAAGAGACAGAACCCAGTAGAGGGCGGGAGGATTAACGAAATCTGAGAACGGTAACACAATGCTGGGAGCCTGGCTGAAACAAAGAGATCAATTCTCGTAATCAGGTTCGCATGCATATCAAACACTCCCTTGTAACCTGCAACGGCCAGAATTTACTGATGCCTGATGATATGGACGTCAGGAGCCTAAAAGATATCATCTAATGCGCGAATTTCACGTTTACCAGGCGCTCCCTTGGGATCCACGATGGCGGGAATCTTGCTGTTGGGATTGATGGCGATAAACTCCGGCGTGAACTGCTCGTCTTTCAAGATGTTGACTGTGTGCGCATCGTACGGAATCTCCATCTCCTCCAATGCTATGCTCACCTGGACACGCGGTCAGACAGAGGGAGAGGGCGGGTTGGGGGGGGGGTGCGAGTAACCAAACAATCGGCGAACACTGGCATGAACTGCTCGCCGTGATGTCCGCCTTTCAAGACGTTGATGGTGTGCGCATCGTACGGTATCTCAATCTCCTCCAACGCGATGCTCACCTGAGCGGGCGATTGGAAGATAGGGGTGAAGAGAAGGAAAAACAGGGAATACACCCATACACTGGTCCGGCGTGAACAGCTCGTTCTTCAGAATGCTAATAATATTCGCATCGTACGGAATCTCCATCTCCTCCAACGCGAAGGTCCACCTGGACAGGTGGTCAGACGATAAGTCTGAAAAGATTCGGAGACATGCGAAGTATATCCAACGGCTGCAAAAGGAGCCAGGGAGCAGACCGCCAGCCTGCTTCGGAGACGTCGCAAACATAAGAGGAAGCACCGAGGGAGCAGTAACGGACCTTTTGGCCGTTCGGCGTGGCCAGGGAGTAGAGCTGAATGCGCGAAGACGACTCGTCCGACGCCATAACTCCGATTACTCTCGGATGCTCTCTGACTGGATCGAGTCGATATAAACACGCAGGGTTACAGCTGAGACGGGGATTTCACAAATGGAAGCTGTCTCTGACCAGGCTACGCAGATTCTGGAGTGAATCCGACGGGAATGGCTGATAGACTCTGCTGTGGACGAAGTTAAAACCGACGTTATCGCCTAGTACAGTTCACCCAAGTTCGTACAGTACAAGCGACTCGACGTGTAAATGGCTTCTAGAAAGGAGCGATACGACGACGATGCTTCCATGCACAGGAATTCCCCTCGAAGTTGGATCACCTTCGACCATGCATTCAAACAGAAACCAGACTGTATCTTTCCGAACCGAACCAGAAAAGAGCAGCCTCGTGGCAAATGTCAGAAATGCTAGGGATTTCCATTTGCTGATTCTGAGCAAATTTGGCGAAAATCTCCACTTGTTGCGTGCGGCTTCCCAAGGCAGCTTTGTCGGGCTTTGAGACGGTGAAGCGCGGTCTCGCTGCTATACACTAGTCTACTAAACGTCTTAAACCGTGTCAAAAGGTCAACAGTTGCTAAACATGGACGGTAATAATGTGGCCATAGCTAAAACTTTGTTCTACTCAGCAGAATGAGTTGCAGTGTGTAACATAGAATACGAATAACATGATTACAACATGTCTACTATCACATAACAGGGCAGCTGGACTCGTACATGTTCAAATAAGGCAGGAACGGGGAGGGGGGTGGTGCATTTGAAAACGCAATGCTCAGCTGCGGAATCGACGCTGATCTCATCCAAGCAGGCATGGATCCATGAGCCTCCCTCAGAGAATCACACTCCTTTATAGTCACCTTCCGCACGCGCTTCATCTTGCCAAGGAAATCCACTGAGCAGATTGGAAGGTCTTGCAACTCCAGCTCTTGAAGCTTGGCTAGAGACCCAGTGGAATCAGGAAGCGAGCGGAGGGGGAGAGAGAGGAGGCGGAGGGTGTGGAGCGAGGAGAGGTTGCCAAGATCCCAAGGGAGGGCGCGGAGTGTGGGGCAGTGTGCAATGTGGAGCATGCGGAGGGATGTGAGGGAGGAGAAGGACGGCGGGAGGGTGGAGAGTTTGGTGTGGGAGATGGTGAGGGAGAGGAGGGAGGGGAAGGTGAAGTCTGCAGGGAGGGCGGTGAGAGGGACGTGGGATATGACGAGGATTCGCAGGCTGGTCAGCTCGCCAAATGAGTCAGGCAGAATCGAGAGCTGCGACAGGCTCATCAGCTTCAGCTTCTTGAGGTTTTTCAGCTGCCCGATGGATGCGGGCAGAGCACGCAGGTTGGTCAGCCCAGTGAGCAGCAGAGACTGAAGTCGAGACATTGAGCCGAGCGAAGCAGGGAGGCTTGGAACAGGAATCCACTGAAAGTCCATGTCCGAAAGATTCTTTAGCTGCCCGAGAGACTCGGGCACCTGGCGGAGAGATGTGCAGGACACACACTCCAGCTGCTTGAGTGCTGACAGGGTTCCCAAGGTTTCGGGCAGGTTGGAGAGGTTCGGCATGCTGAGCAGCACAAGCCAATGGAGCGACGCAAGCTGCCCAAAGGAAGGAGGCAGCTGTGAGATCCCGGGCAGGCGAAGGGTCAGTGATTGCAGAGTGGAAAGATTTCCAAATGTGCTGGGAAGGGTTTCTATCCGCATAAGGTCTAACAGCTCCAGGAACTCGAGAGATTTCAGCTGCCCGAAGCTCTCCGGCAGAGCAAGGACCAAGCTACAGCCAATCATGCGAAGCTTCTTCAGCTTTTCCAGCTGCCCGAAAGTGTCGGGCAGACCAACCAGCGCCTTGCAGTTCCAGATCTCCAGTGCCTGAAGCGACGAGAGCTGCCCGAAAGACGCAGGCAGGTCCTGCAACACTGGGCAATTTACCAGCTGCATGGACCGCAGATTCCCCAGCTGCCCGAAATCCTTGGGGAGGCACTTCAACGAATGGCAGTCCTTGATAATGATGGAATCCAAGCAGAGCAGATTCGCCAAGCTATCCGGGAGAGCCGAGAGCGACAGACATTTTTTTAGCTCAAGAGATCGGAGGCGAGCTAGCGAGCCGATGTTGGTTGGGAGAGTAGCGAGCTTGGAGCAAACGTTAAGGCGGAGGAGAGTGAGCGAGGAGAGGGAGCAGATGGAGGAGGGGAGGGTGGTGAGGTAGCGGGAGTGCGTGATTTCGAGCGAGGTGAGCCGGGACAAGGGCAGCAGGCTGAGATCGTCGAGTTCGGTCAGCGGGCAGGCTAGTGAAAGATCTTGAAGATCATGGAAGAGGGACCAGGAAAAGGGGATTTCTGCTGCCGCCCACCCCATGTGGAGCACTCGCAGGTCGTGAAACTTGATTGCAATTTCTGGGATTGGTTGAAGAGTTTCGAACCCGGTCAGGCGGAGCACCAGGAGGTTGGGCAGCTGGGAAAACCCTTTGGGCAGCTGGTTCAGCTTGATGCATGCAGCGACCTCAAAAGTTTCCAGCGAAGCCAGCAAAGAGAGGGATTCGGGCAGCTTCGCAAGGCTTGTACATTGGTTGAGGATCAGCGTCCGGAGCCGCGGCAGACTGCCCAGAGACTCGGGCAGCTCCGAAATAGCCCGGCACTCAGTGATCTTCAGCTCCTCCAGGTCAGCAAGCTGCCCGATTTCTGCGGGCAGCGCTTTCAGCTTCAGGCACGAGTCCAGATGCAGCGTACGGAGGACGGGCAGGTGGCAAACGGAATCCGGAATTTCAGCCACCATCTCGCTCATAACCCTCAGGTACTGCAGCTGCGTGACCTGCCCGAGCTCCTCGGGCAGCGGAAAAACATCGTGCCGAGTGAACTTGTGCGCGAGAACGCGCCGCAGCGGCACGAGATGGAGAGCCGTCAGATGCGGACACGTGGCAAGCGTGGAGGCGATCCCGGGGGAGAGGCAGGGCGCGGGGACCTCGAGCGACGCCAGCTGGCGGAATCTGTGGAGGCCGCAGGCGAGGCCACCTGGTAGGCTGTGAATGGCTGATTCGGAGAGCGAGAGCGTACGGATGCCGTCATTGGCCGCGTAACGCCAGCGGTGACACGCGCACGCCGCTGCGAGCCAATCCCGAGGCGAGGTGAGGTGGGTGAAAACGAGCGCGAGACAGTCATCTGGAAGATCGGCGATGGTGGTTGATAAGGAGGGGGAGGGGGAGGGGGAGGAAGGGGAGAGGAGGTCGGCGGAAAGCGGGGAGGAATGGGATGCGGAGGAGGCAGGGGGGGCGTTGAAGCGGGATGCGCGGAAGGCGGGGGCGGAGGCGGAAGGGGAGGGGTTGGGGCTGGCTTCGGAGTCGGAGGGGGACGGGAGGACAGAGCCGTCGGGAGGGAGGCGGTTGTAACGAAACGGCGACGGGTGCTGGGCGGCTGAAGCGGAACCGGGTGGAATAGAGAGAGGGGGGGACAGAAAGAGAGAGGGGAAGGAAGATCAGATGGGAACGAAAGATTTTTATCGCCTACCGTAGAACATTTTGTAGGTAGGTCCTACGACACTACAGATAGTGTTCGAAAAAAGACACGCGCTTTGCTTTTCCGAGGATGTATAGCATATCGTACGTTCAAGACACCAAAAAGAGCGGAGGAATGGAGGAAAGGAAGCGTTGCAAACACGGAACGGCTCTCCAAGGATTGGGGTTGCGTACTTATCAGGAAGCGAGGATCGTACAGGTCAAGAGAGGAAATACCTTTTCATGTGCGACGAAGAAAAGATAGTTGAAGCGCGTGGATTGTGTAACGGTGAAGTGTATAACGCGGAATGGGTGTGGCAAGAAATGTCCTACCTGGAGAGTGCAGATTGAGGAGGTTAGACGCCGCAACAGATGGCGACGCCACCCAACCCCATCCGTTGGATTGACCCTCTTCAGACTGATCGAACGGCCTCGGGGACGACACGTTCAGCGGTGGCACGGACTCCATGCTGACGTGGCGGCGAGAATGCGCGAAGAGAGAAAAACGGATGAGATTCGAGTCAAGGTGACTATGAGCCGCGATGCTCCCGCAAGACGCTTCTTTAGGCACGTGAGAAATTATAGCGAATGCCGACCCACAGGAGATTCTCGAAGATACAAAAGGATTATAGAGTCCAGGAAAGCCGGAATGTCAGGAACGTGCAACAACGAGTAATGCCGGACGCCACATGCAATGTCACGGGCCTGGATCCACGCGAAACGCTTCAGAGACGATTCTTGTGGCGCTCTCAGTGTGTTTTCTTTCCTTCTTTCAGGCTCCTCAGAAATGCCAGAGGATGAGTTCCTGTGAAGCTCCTGAAACCAGAGAAGACGAAGATATGAGGAAATGTTGAAAGAGAAGGAAAGAAAGTGACTGAAAAATAGCGGACTGAGGCTGGAAATAGTTTGACCGCAATAAATACGTCCGGCTTTGAGCAGAGCCTGTATTATTGCTCGTTGTACTTTCTTTGCTTACCTGCTTTAGTTAAAATATATTCAAAGCGCTGCTTAGTCGACGTACCAAAGCGGACTTGGACTATCTATGAAGGGAAGCTGGTGCAGAGAACATGAGAGGTAGTTAACGTGCAACAGAAGAGCATGAATAGCAGTCTTAATGTTCAATGGAACGTCTTGATAGTCAGAGACGTGAACGGAGAACGAGAGTAGATCTTACGAAACGAAGACTTAGAAATGTACGACGGTGTCACGAGGACAACAGCATACGGAGGTCCACCAAGGGAGCACAAGCTCTCACATGTGAGAGCACTATCTCTCCGGAATTTCTTCCTCAGCAAGATTTGTTTCCCAAGCTGCTCTCATGAGTCACAGCAGCACAAGCTGCTCTCACCTGAAGAATGAAGGCAGTGCCGCAAGCGACGGAATTGATTTGCTAGTTCTGGAGATTGATTGGTGTAGGGCAGATTTTGCTGCTGCGTGCACCAATTGCATACTGTAACCACTAAGCGTTTTTCTGGTGTTGTGGTTTGTGCTGGTGTATGGGACGGGCGTTTCTTCATAAAGTTGACGAGAGTGACAGTGCTGACGGCTTATGTGTGGCTTAGTGATAATTGAAAAGGCAGCCTGGCAATTTTTAGGCAGATCGGGAAACGCAGAACGTTTTTACATCCGTCCTCGACCACCAAAAGCCCAGATGTGGCGCGAAAGCCGTACTGCTGCGACCGTGTTTCACGCAGCCAGATTGAGTGTTTGGGTGACAGATTCATTTATAAAATATCCAGGGTTTTTAGTTGATCCCGCATTGTTACTGACTGAAGCTATACGCCAAAAGCGCAGTATTGTCGCTTCTGGCGCACTGTTACTGCCCAGTTTTCGATCACAGCGCAGAGTTAGTGAGATTTCTACGCAGTGAAGTTTTCATTGGTCAAAATGTAGACGGACCGACAACTCCGCTTGGATTGACGGCCATCGAACCGTTTGCACCTGATTTTTGGGCAGACAAAATATATTACCCTCTCAGATGGCATGCTGTTTAGGGAGCATCAACCCTAAACACCGGGCGGAAGTGTTTAGGGAGCATGAACCCTAAACATTGGGCGAAAGTGTTTAGGGTTGATGCCCTTTGCGACGGGTTATATATATATATATATATATATATATTATGGCTGCCATCGAGGGAGGCCTCAACCCTAAACACTATGCGAATGGGTGTCTAGGATTGATGCTCTCTCAATATGAGCTTGAAAAATGTTAAACACCTCTCTGGGTAAAACTGTTTTCTCTTACACAGTACGCTTGTCGTTTTCGGAGATTTAGACCAATGAGCGTCGAGCTGCGTAAAAATCGCACAAACTCTGCGCTGCAAACGAAAAACGGGCAGTAACCCTGCCCCAGACGCGATGAAACTGCGCATTTGGCGTGCAGTTTTGAAAACCGTGCTTTGTCAACTGAAAACCCAAATATCCAACAGATGGGATGCCTCCTCCTTCGTTTGCCACCCCCACCCCCCACCCATACGCGTGGCAGTTTCTTCACCTGATGTGACGACGAAGTAGAAAATGATAGCGAGGATGTGTTGTAGAAATTTCATGTGTACGGTACAAGTTCTATTTGTCAATCTTTTCATGCCGAAAGTGATTTGGATAGAACACCATCACAGGCTAGCTTCACAATGTGATCCAGAGCATTATACCCAGCTAGAACGATCAGGAGCCAGTTAATGGTGGCAATGCCTTGAACTTGTATGGCGAGCCTGTGCACAATTTTCTTGTCCTTAAACCCCATCTTCACCAGTACCATTGAGGTTTCGCTGCCATGTCATCTGCAAGGAAAAGTCCCAATAATAAGATATGTGAGTGTGTATGTTCATTAGTACGAGGAAGGGACAGGTTAGGGAAGTGACAGAGCAGAGGAAGATAGGAGAGAAAGCCAGCATCCTCTCACTATAGAAACTAATTTCACTGCACTTCTCACCCTCCACTAACCACTTCCAGCCTGCAAATTCTCTCGTCCAATCTCCATGTGTCGACTCTCGTGTCACCAGAGCCACCTACACTGTACGTACGCTTTGCATGCATCACACATTCACCGTGGCCTCACTCACATCCACTTCTACTCTCCACACTTCAAACTCTTCCATCCCTCACCAACAGGAGGCGCATCTCGTGCCATGAAAGCCACCTGCGCCGTCCATTCCTGAACACCCCCCACACTCTACAGAAGCCACACACACCCACAGTGCCCACCATTCCTCACACCCACTCACCAACAGGCTGAGTGTCGCGCGCCATGAGAGCCACCTGCGCCGTGCGCACGCTCTGCGGCCGCCACGCCCACAGCACCAGCCGCCACGCGTCCGGCACGGCGCCCACCTGCCACGCCACAGCGCACGGCTCCCCCGTCCCTGCCACACACCGCACAATCCGCACCCGCCTCACCACCGGCCGTAGACACCTCGACAGCCACGCCATGTGCTTCGCGTCGATCCACCCACCGCCTCTCCGGGCCGAGAGGGAGCGGCGGAGGGTGCGGCGGAAGCGGTCGAACATGAAGAGCGGCGTTCGGTCCATCTCCACGTGCCGCACGTACATCCAGGCTCGGAAATACCGAGCCGAGCGCAGGCACGGGCGCGCCGGGCCGACGTGCGAGCCTGGGGGGCCGAGGAGAGTGCCTCTACTACCACCGCTGCTGCTGCTTGCAGTAGCTCCTTCTTTTGGAAAGAAGCATTTCTCCTCTATGACTACCGACATGCCATTGAACATGCACGAGCGCGCAATGCCCTTCGCGCTGCTCTCCCCACCCACCCTGTCCCCCTCTGCCACACCTTCCATACCCATCCCTTCAGCACCATCCACAGCACCCACACCATCACCACCACTGCCCGCAGCATCCCCAATGCTACCGCTGCTGCCACTGCTGCTGTTGCTGCTGCTCTTGCTGCGCGCGGGAATAATCGGCACCTCCATCTCGGCCTCTACAAGCACGAACGGCACGTACATGCGCGTCAGAACCGGCAAATCCGGCGCTCTCCGCCCCGGGTGCTTCTCGTTCTTCTTCACCAGGCTGCGCCGCACCGTGAACAGCTGCCCGTCTCGTAAGGACGACGATCTCCATAGGTCCTCCACTCGGTTGACTCGGAGAGGGGGGAATTCCTCTACCCGCCCCATCCACAGCTGCGGGTCGCCGGTGACTGCTGGTGATGGGTCGCTGCTGCTGGCTAGAAGGCGACGTCTGCTGTTTGCTTGTATCTGGCTGCTCGTGTTACCTGCTGGCACCTGGCTGTTCCTGTCAGCTGCTGGTAACCGAATGCTCGTGCTACCTGCTGGTAACCAGCCGCTTGTGTCCCTGTCCCTGTCCCTGTCCCTGTCCCTGTCCCTGTCTCTGTATATGTCCCTGTCTCTGTCTCTTTCTTTCTCTCGTTCCCTCTTGACACCACTGTCACTTCTTGTAAGCGCCAGGAAATGGGATAGCTCTTGCGCAGACCCTGCTCCTGCCCCTCGTCCTGAACCTGCTCGCCTTGTCCCTCTCGCTTCCCCTGCCCCTGCCCCTGCCCCTGCCCCTTCACCTGCCCTTGCCTTTGCCCCTGCCGCTGCCCCTGCCCCTGCCCCTGCCCCTGCCCCTGCCCCTGCCCCTGCCCCTGTCCTCCCGCTAGCCAGCAGCCGTCGCCTGCCAACCCCTCTCTCCTTGAGAAGCTTTCTTCCTCCACCACCCTTCCCACTTCCGCCCTTCTTCTTCCCTTCCTTCGTCCCTTTCCCCTTCCCCTTCCCCTTCCCCTTCCCTTTCCCTTTCTCTTTCCCCTTCCCCGTCTCCTTCCTCTTCGCATTCTCCCGTTCCCACTCCTCAACATCCGCCCGCGATCCTCCCCCGCCCGCCCCTCTCCGTCCCCTCACCAATCTCCCATACTCCGCCAAAAACTCATGCAGAGAACCGAGTCTCTCTACAAAGGGTACAAACCCACTAGCAGCAGCCATCCAGGGGATCGACGAATCACAGACAGTCTTATCGCGAACCAGGCAGGGCACGGAGGGGGCAGGGGGGAGGGAGCCCCAGAAGGGCAAATGACGCATTTGAAAGCGGTTGAAGCCAGTTAGAGAGAAGAAAGCGAGGATGAGGCGGGCCTGTTCGCTCTGGGAGGCTGGGAGGAAGAAGCGACGGGTGTCTTTAGGGGAGGGGAAATGGGTGGGGTTGGGAGTTTCAGGAGATTCTGCAGAGCCGTAACTGTTAGTTCTGCTGTTACTGTTACTGTTACCGCTGCTGCTGCTGCTGCTGCTGCTGCTGTTTTCACTAGTTGTAACACGGTCAGCACCAGTGCCAGCAACGCCTGTCCCTCCTGCACTCTCCCCCTCCGCCTGCGCGCCCACATCCCCCCCCGCACCCCCCTCCGCCTGCACCTGCGCGCGCATGTCCGTCCCCGCGTCCCCCTCCGCGACCCACATGAGCCCCCTGAGCGCAGCATCCACAAACCCGCGGCACCGCTGCCCCACAATCACCCCCCACTTGTGCCGCAGAAACACCTGATTCGCCGTGCACACGTCATCCCCGCTCTGACTCACGAAATACACGAGGTCGCTGGTGCGTATGCTCGTGGACGGCTGGTGGTATACCACCACCGACTGCGGCACCAGAAACGCCTTGTAGTTGAAATACCTTGTCGTCAGCGCGATATCCAAATCCTGCCGAGTATACCCCACCTGAGGGTCAAACACTTGTGCCTCCAGCAGAAACGAGTGCCGGACCAGCAAGCAGTGATCCTCTATACCCACGGCTGATTCCCTCGGGTCGAGCAGAGTCGGATCTAGCGCGGCGGCGACCTGCGGGTCCTCTATGGGCTGGGGGTACAGCTTGCCGTCGTTGCTGAAGTCATCTAGGATCATATCCGCGCCGAACGCCGCGTGCAGCCGCATGCTCTCCCCCTCCGCCTTGCACCTGCTGCCCGTGTGCGCCTTCCTCGCGTGCCCTAGCTCCCTGCCACCACTCTCACCGCTGCTGCCGTCGCTGCTGCTGCCGTTGATGCCACTCTCGTCCCCGTCACCCCCCCCTCCGCTTTTCCCTCCGCTTCCCCCTCCGCTTCCCCTTCCGCTCCCCCCTCCGCCCTCCACCATACCATCCATAGACATCATTCCCTTGAAGCTCGGTGCCGAGCCTCCGCCGGACTGCTCCCACAGGTACGGCAAGAAAATCACCCCCTCTCCCCCCCTAGCCTCGGCGAACATATACAGCTTCTGCAGCCACCTGTGACCTAGGGGGAACACGTCGGAGAATATGAATAGGGCGTATTTAGTCTTAATTAGCTCCACTGACGCGTTTCGCATCGCGAACCCGCTCGCGTGGCGCCCTACGTCTTTAATCTCCATGCGCCGCTCCTGCTGCTGCTGGTACTGCACGGTCCCGTCTGCGGCGGGCGATCCGCGCAGCACCGCGTTCCCGCGCCACATCCCCGCGTCCGCCTCGCGCTTCCGCCGCAGCACGTGCGCGCGCACGCGGGCGGGCATGTCCGCGGAGAGCAGGTACACGACGGGGGAGGGGGGGGTGTTGCGCAGAACCGCGTCCAGCTGCGCGGGGGCGGAGCTGAATGTATGCTTAGCGGAGATGACTATAGTGATGTCCTGCGCAACCTGTTCGTCTAACGAGGCCTCGTACATATCAAACACCTCCTCCTCCTCCTCGCCCCTCCCCCTTCCGTCCCCGATTCTCCCGCCGCCGCTGCCGACGCCGCTGCCGCTAGTGCTGACGTCAGCAGCGCCGGACCCCGAGTGCTTATGGTGGGATACGGCCAAAACCCCTTTATGGTCACGCTCCAGTAGAAGCAACCGCCGCCGCTCCTCTAAACTGGGACCGACCTCTGATAGCCTCGTCCCCGACCTCTTATCAGAACCCTCAGTCCGCTTATCAGACTGCGTATCAGACCGCTTATCAGACCCTACGGACCACCGATCAGTGACCCGAGCCTGATCTGCCTCCCCATCCCCGTCCTCGTCAGTCCCGTTATTGTCACCATCCCCGTTATCGAGACTCCCGTTATTCCCCTCCATCATCACGGCGCTTAAAAGATCCGATACGCTCTGATTCCCGAAATCCGCCAACCCTCTATGCTGCCATGGCTCCTCCGAACCTTCTGCCAACCCCCATCTTCCCAACCCGCCTCCACCTCCGATTCCGTTTCCTCCTCCGTTACCGTTAGCGTTACCGTTTCCTTTTCCGCTTTCCCGTCTGAAGCTCTTCTCCTCTCCCAACGGATCGTCATCGAGATCAATCCGCGACTCGAGCTCTGAGTAAAGGAACACGAAGGCGATTACGATCGCCAGCAGCAGCAACAGCCGCCCGGTGGACAGGAGCAGGTCGGGGCCCGCGTGCGCGGAGGAATGCGCGCGGCGGCGATGGCGCGCGGAAAGAGGTTGCGCGGAAAGGGAATGCGCGGAAAGCGGGCTCGCGTCGGGTTCACCAGGATGCGCGAGCGTCGTCCGCGGCGTATGGTGCAGGGGGGAGGTTTGGTAAGGTGGTGAGTGGTGGTTTATAGGACCGGAGTGCTGTGGATGCGGAGGGGAGGTTTGGTGGGAAAGGGAGGAATGGTGGGCATGGGAGGTCTGGTGGAGGCCGGGCGATTGATCTGACGTCACGCGGTGAACCGCCTCTTTGTGCTTGACGGTCACCATGGGCCGCTGCTGCTCTTACCATTGGCTGCTGCTCTCACCATGAGCTGCTATCATTGGCCGCTGTTTTCGTGATCATGTGCTACTCGTCTCTCGCTCATTCGCAAGCCATTTCGCGTTCTGATCAGAAGCCACTCGTCTCGTGATCATGGCAGGGCTGGGAATTCTAACGCTGCAGGGTCGCAGATGTTCTCGTGCGCAGCGGTATCATGGCCTTGTGGTCTCTGGATCTCTGTGACTATTGTGAACATTGCGAGAGCCTGACCGATTTTTCGATCCCTTGGTACCGTCTCGTCTCGATCCCCTTTTTATTGAATGCAGGGATTCGTTACTGATATGGAAATGCATCGAAGTGATGAAATTCGACGTAATCAGGAACTCGATCAGGGTCTAAGCCTGTGACATAACAATATCGCGAGCCGATTAATCGACATTTCGATTGCGAGTTACGTAGTTAATCACAAAAGGCTCGCAGTTCGCAGCTGCCTGTCCGAATCGTACCTTCATCACCGTACCCTAATTATAGTACTCCGAGTCACGCTTTCCAAGACTGGGAGATGTGAGATGAGACCGCGAATCAGAGGATAGTCGTAAGGTGAGTTTATACAGCCGTCGAACTGTAGGAGGCTTTTGGGAGGTAATTTAGGTACAGTAAGTTCAAGTCAGGCATGGTTTCAGGTTTGGAAGAATACTGAACTGTACCACTGACACCCAAGCTGATGGTAGGTATGGTTAGGGAGTTCTGGTTGGGAAAGTGGGTTTGGAGATTGGGAATGGTATGGATGGTACATACACGTGCGGTGCACAGACCACCAGGCAGACATAGCAGTACTGATGAGATAGAGCTCTAAAACGCAGAGGACCTTACTGAATCGTAGTCAGATGGACTCCTTGAAGCTCCAATGACTACGAGGTACGGACGGACGGAGCTTTCTGTAGATGACGGAAAAGAGTGAGCCGTCAGGAGGCAAGGACAAACAACGGGAGAGCGGGAAACTTGATTCGCGTCGTCAGATCAAAACTTGGGGGTTCCGTCGTTGCGCTCAGTCTTGTGTCTGTGATTGGTTTGAAGCTAGTCAAAATCGGTTAGGCCCGGTTCCTTGGTCAGGTTTGGTGGGTAGTTTCTTTGGGTCTGCCTTCAAACCGAGGCTCTGATTGAACTTCGATTCTTCTACCTTAAATTGCATATTTCACTTCAAATTCCTGGCTTTGTGTGTATTACGGATGAGGGTGTCATTGAACGAGACTTACGAATGCAGAATGCCCAAACCTGGAAATGTCACCTACATTCTTTAGAACAAGCCTTGCCCAGTTTCTTTGGGAGATTTCTAGGGCTGGCTCGGATGGAGCTTGTCGCTGCGCGCCGCTTCAAGCTCGGAGGAGGTAGGTATCGTCTGGGCGAGGCTGCTGGTGACTGGTCATGGGAGGCGCTCACCACCTGAATTTTGTGGTATGGCATGGCAAGCCGTCAGAATTTTTTTTTTCGACACCGTCAGAGTCACATAATTCTCGTTACAGTATTACTCTCGTTTTACGTCTTCCTCCGAATTGTATGAACGCCAAGATGCCAGAAATCTAATTACTGTACACGGAATACAAGAGCTGGTTCACATGTTAATAACGAGAATGGCAAAAGCTAAATGATAGCAGCACCACTTCCGTCCACCACCATACCCATTGTGACTTGCCGCACTAAGAATTTCCGTGTGCGGATTGTTGAAAGGCTCAGGCGGGTTGCGAGAATCTTGCCGCGTGGCGCGACGCGTAGGTCGGCCGAACCAGGAGGAGCATTTAAGTCCGTTCTATCGTGCAACCTTTGCTTTACGACACACTTATCAAAACAAATTCCGAGTCGGTTCATCAACTTTTCCCAGCCGTTCTCCCCGCAACCGTCGTCCCCAAGGTGATTTTTAAGTCGACTCAGAAGTCACCTCGTCCCCATGGTGTCAGACGAGCCGATTCCGCGATCCGACATGGCTGGCGGCAACCCTCCAGCCTCGAATCGCTCGCCAAGCGCAACTTATTCCTCAGTCCCGCAGAGCGTCACCACCCGCGTCGCGTTCGTATTGATTGACGGAATCGGTGACGTGGCGGTGCCGTCGTTGGGCGGCCGGACGCCGCTCGAGGCGGCACATACGCCGAATCTGGACGCAATCGCGGCGGCGGGAGTCAACGGCCTGATGGACCCTGTAGAACCCGGGCTGGCGTGCGGCAGGTACGAATCGACGGCTGGGATTGTTGGAGCGACGGGGGAGACTTAATTTGACTTACAGACAGGGAAAGGGGGTGGGGAAGAAGGGGGGGAAGGGGATGGGGGAGAGTGGGTGGATAGGGGCAGGGGACAGGGGGGCAGGGGGGCCAGGAGAGGGGGGGGCAGGGGGGCAGGAAAGGAGGGAAGGCGGGAGGAAGGGGGAGAGGGGCTCGGATTAGTGTCGCGAGTGGGGCAAGAGGGGAACGGAGCATGCAGTGAGGAAATAGCGGCCCAGGTCCCTGTCTCATCCCTTATCACCCCGTCATATCCCCCCGTCCTATCCCCCCTGAGTCACCCCCCGTCCTATCCCCCCTGAGTCTCCCCCGTCCTATCCCCCCTGAGGCTCCCCGTTTTCCCCACTGTGTATTCTCCGTCTCCCCACTGGACTTCCCCCTTCCCCACACGTCCCGCCACTCCCCCCTCCAGCAGTGACACGGCACACCTCTCCCCCCCCAGCAGTGACACGGCACACCTCTCCCCCCCCAGCAGTGACACGGCACACCTCTCCCCCCCCAGCAGTGACACGGCACACCTCTCCCCCCCCAGCAGTGACACGGCACACCTCTCCCCCCCCAGCAGTGACACGGCACACCTCTCCCCCCCCAGCAGTGACACGGCACACCTCTCCCCCCCCAGCAGTGACACGGCACACCTCTCCCCCCCCAGCAGTGACACGGCACACCTCTCCCCCCCCAGCAGTGACACGGCACACCTCTCCCCCCCCAGCAGTGACACGGCACACCTCTCCCCCCCCAGCAGTGACACGGCACACCTCTCCCCCCCCAGCAGTGACACGGCACACCTCTCCCCCCCCAGCAGTGACACGGCACACCTCTCCCCCCCCAGCAGTGACACGGCACACCTCTCCCCCTCCAGCAGTGACACGGCACACCTCTCCCTTTCGGGCTACAACCCTCGCCAGCACTGCATGGGCGGGGTGAAAAAAGGTGATGTTTTGAGACGTCTCCAAACTGCATGGGCAGGGTTACCTGCAACATCCCTTACCGCCCGCCGCACATTCCCTTCCCCTGATTCGCCTCACCACACTCCCCTCTCCCTTCTCTCCCCCCTCTCCCCTGCCTGCCCGCAGTGACACGGCGCATCTCTCTCTGCTGGGTTACAACCCCCGCCAGCACTACAGGGGGCGAGCACATAAGCGCGCTGAAAACCCCTCCCCCCTAACCCTCTGCCCCATGCACCCATGCACCCATGCACCCATGCACCCATGCACACCCCCCCCCCCCCCCTTGCAGTGACACGGCGCATCTCTCGCTGCTGGGTTACAACCCCCGCCACCATTACAGGGGGCGGGGGGCGTTCGAGTCCATGGGAGCCGGGATTCCCATGCAACCTGGCGACATCGCTTTCAAGGTGGGTGGTATGCTTCAAACGGGTATGCTGTTATGTTTCAAACGAGTATGCGATGTTGGGTGGGCGGTACAATGTCACAAACCAGCACTACAGGGGGCGAGGGGCGTTTGAGTCCATGGGAGCTCGCATCCCCGTGCAGCCTGGGGACATGGCATTCAAGGTGGGTGGGTAATGCGGTGTAAACGAGTGTGCTATGTTGGGTGGGTGGTACATTGCTTCGAACCAGCTCTACAGGGGGCTGAGCGGCGTTTGAGTCCATGGGTGCTGGGATTCCCATGCAGCCTGGGGACATTGCGTTCAAGGTGGGTAACATGCTTCAAACGAGTACGCTAGTTGCTACAAACGAGTACGCTAGTTGCTACAAACGAGTCCATGGCGTCAGGAGCCCCATGCAGCCTGCGTGGGGACGTCGCGTGCAAGGTGGGTAAAACGCTTAGTGAGTTTGCTAGTAGCGAGTATACTTTTAACGAGTACATTGAAGCCAGGACTCCTATGCAGCCTGACCTGGCAGGCAGATGTACTCCTGTGCCTCTTTGCCTCTACCCTGTGTTTGAAGTGGTGTTGAGTTTATTATTTAGAATTCTCAAAAGTGAACTCAACATAGCTGTGTTTGACATAGTGTTTTGAGACGTCTCTAAACACTACAAAACACATCGAAGCCGGGATTCCTATGCAGCCTGGTAGAGGCACTCTTGTGCCTCTTTGCCTCTACCCTCCCCATACTCTCACAACGGGGATCATGGTGAAACGCCAGGCAGCTAATGCCTCCTCCCCTTCCTGCACTCCCGCACCCATGCTTCGCTCTTCACCTCTCCCGCACCCATGCTTCGCTCTTCACCTCTCCCGTTCCCATGCTTCACTCTTCACCTCTCCCGCACCCATTCCTCCACAGAGCAACGCCGCAGTGTTGGACAAACACCGGGGCAAACGGGGATCGTGGTGAAGCCCCGGGCTCCTCACCACTTCCCTCCTCTTACTACCCTCCTATACTCGTCCTTCTCTTTCCACGCAACTTCGCAGTGTTGGACGAGGCAACGGGGATCGTGGTGAAGCGCCGAGCGCATCATTGCCTCGCTGCTCTCCACCTCTGCACCACCCCCCCCCTCCGCCCCCTTCCCTCTTCCCTGCGCCCTCTCCCCACATCCGCACAGAGCAACTTCGCAGTGTTGGACGAGGCAACGGGGATCGTGGTGAAGCGCCGGGCGGATCGGCACTTTGAGGAGGAGGGGCCAATCCTGTGCCGCCACCTGGACGGCCTCAAGATCCCTGGATTCCCGGACTACCAAGTCAGCATCAAGTACGTACGGCCCACAATAGAGCCAGAGAACAAAACAGGGCATCTTTTTCCCTATGTTCCGTGTTTGTCCAATTTTGAGATGCCCCTTAACTGCTTGTCTCCCAAGTCACTGGACCCACACTTTTTTTTTTCTGTACCCACCCTTTTTTCACCTGTTGTTTTTTTTCTTGTGACCGTTCCCCTCCCACTCCCACCGGCTCCCCCCTGAAACACACCCCAGATATGCCACAGAGCACAGGTGCGGCGTGGTGGTTCGGGGCCCGGGTCTGTCTGACAGGATCGGTGGCACCGACCCTCTGAAGGACGGGCGGGCGCTAGGTGTCGCGACGCCATTGGACGACAGCCCGGAGGCAGACCTGACGGCTCGTGTGGTGAACGCTCTGAGCGATGCGATTCGGGCAGAATTGAAAAATCATCCAATCAACGCGCAGCGGGCAGCGCAGGGAAAGAATGTGGCAAACGTGGTTCTTCTGAGAGGCTGCGGGATCCGAATTGAGGTGAGGGGTTGAAAGGAGAGGAGAGTGTGGGCCTGGAGGTGAGGGATTGAGGGGAAAGGGGACAGGAAGGAGAGGTGGCAATCACTTTGGTGGTTATAGGCAACTGGACACTTACCCCTGTTCAGACACACTTGCTTACAGGGAAGAGGATCTACATGACTACATGTGTGCAAGATCTACGTGTTGAAGGCAGTGCAAATACAGGACTAGCACATTGCACCACCTACGATGCCCGGCCTTCTCATTCGCAACCAACACATTCATTGTGGGTACCCACATTCAAGGATGTCCTCAGATGCCCTCCTTGATGAAAAAGTGTCCCAAGCTTCATCGTAAAATCTCGAAATGATCTTTCTGCTCCACTCCCACCTCCGCTCCCACCTCCACTCCCACCTCCACTCCCACCTCCACTCCCACCTCCAGGTCCCTTCGTTCAAGGAGAGGCATGGCATGCGCGCGTGAATTGTGCCCCAACCAAGATCATTGCAGGGCTGGGACTTTCAGCCTCCCAAACCTCTGTGTAAAGTACTGAACTGCTCTTTCTGCCCCACTCCAACCCTCCAACACTCCAACCCCACACGCACCTCCAGGTGCCGTCATTTAAGGAGAGGCACGGTATGCGAGCCTGCATGGTGGCCCCAACCAAGATCATCGCAGGCCTGGGACTCAGCCTCGGAATTGACATCCTGCACGTACCTGCAGCCACGGGCGACTACCGAACCTGCCTCGCCTCCAAAGCTGAGGCCGTAGCTGCCGCCCTGTCCACCTTACCTCCCCATCCTGCTCCAGCCAAGCCCGAACCAACTGACCGAACCGACCAGAACGGTCAGATCAATCCGATTGCTCCGATCGGTCGATCTGCACCGTTGATTTCGGTTCCTGGGGAAGATGATCCGAGGGAAGGATGCCCTGAGGGGTACGAGTTTGCTTTTCTGCACATCAAGGCAGTGGACGATGCCGGGCACGACAAGGCCATTGATCTCAAGGTGCGCGCGCTGGAGGCCGTTGATCGCATGGTGGGCCAGCTGGCGCACCGCCTGTGGCTGGTGCAGAAAGAGGGGGGGCAGGAAGAAGAGCAGCAGCAGGGGGGTAATCAGGAGGGTAATCAGGAGGAACACGAGAAGCAGCAGCAGCGGTGGGAGCATCGGCCAAGGTTCTGCCTGTGTGTGACAGGCGATCACTCCACGCCCATTCTATACGGCGACCACACAGAGGAGCCAGTTCCTCTAGCCATCTGTGACCTCTCTGACTTCATCCACACAGTGCCAGGAGGCGAGGCTGCTGTACTGGGTACAGATCTGAGCCCCTTCCCCATCCCCACCGCAGCCACTGTGGCTGCAGAGGGTGTCGCTGGGGCAATCGGTGGAGTGAGGGATAGAAAGGGGGAAGGAGGAGTGGAAGGAGTGAAGACGGTGCGAGGGGTGGCTGGTTCTGTGGCCGGGGATGGTGTGTCCAGGTTCAGTGAATCTGCGGCGGCCAAGGGGAACCTGGGCCGGTTTCCAGGGAGTGAGATGATGCGCATCATTAAATGGTGGTCAGGGCGGGGATGCTAGGTATGCACTGATGAGCAAGACATTGTGCACAAAACAAATACACTGAATGCACATACCATAGTTGGTGGAATCCATTGCCTGTGTAATTATTGATTGTTGTTTTATGTCCGTCGAGTGTGGTTTAGCCACATCTTGGCGATAATGTCGTCATCGCCCGGATATAAGACTGTGTTGAATAGTAGACGGGTGTCTCTTATAAACAGGCTAGCCTTTTTATGCAACACCTATTTGTGTGTACGAGATAAGACATATGTGTCTAAGAATCCAAACATTATAATTTTTGAAAGTGTAATGAAATGTAACACTTTCTAAAATTTTGTATTGTGAAAAGGGGTACGTGGCCAACACAGCAAAGGTAGCGCCGAAGCGCTACTCACCCTCTTTTGCCTACAAAAGAGGGACGTGGGGACAGTCGTCCCCACCCACGTTTTCATTCTCAAAATTGTAGTTCTCATTTCGTTCTCGTCCACACTGGCGAAGACTCAGTCGCTTCCGCGCTTCACTGCCCCGTCAACGCTCCTTAACGACATCCTTAAGCGCAACCTCGCAACAATGGCTCCGGTCAACCCGGCACTTCACCGCGACAATTCGAATATTTCTAGCCCTGGTAACGCGGAGGAAACCTCGACTCCGGCCGGGACAACAGATCGTCGCGGCGGAAAACGTCCCGTCGACGAAATTTCAAGCGAGGGACCCTCGGCGGTCGACCTCTTGCTCGGAGGCACCCTTCGGACCCCCCCTGAGGAACGCGCGACTGTACAACAATCGCGCGTGACTGCTGCTGAAGAGCGCGTGCCTGGCAGGCATGCGCGTGCTGCGCAGAAGACGACGACCGCCGCTGAGGCGGGTCCATCCGGGCCCACGACCCAGAAACGCAAGCGCGCGGCACCCTCCGCTGACGTCACCCTTGTCAACGCCCCTCCCCCCCCTTTGACTGCGCAGCAGCTGCAGGCGCTGCTCTCGTTATTGCAGCAGCACGCACCATCGACTGCAGCTACATCAACCGAAGAAATTTCCGCGTCCGCTAAAGTTGAAAAGCAGAAGGTGTCAGAACATATATGTAGCTTATGCTGTTGTGTAGGCTACAGTGGGGTATACCATAGGGGGTACAACCCAATTAGGGTTTTGCTATTTGTACTCACTTCACTCATAGTTCATTCATTCTTGTTCTATTTTCCACATGGTATCGAGCAGGTTCCCCCGTGGGAACTGTGCTTAGGGCCCACCACTTTTAAACTTTTTTTTTCTGCCCGGAGCGCGCTACGGGCCCTCGCTCTCACTCTTTCGGCCTGCCCTGCAGGCCCCTAGCCGCCCGCGCGCCGCCTGTCCCGGCCCTTAGCCGCCCGCGCGCCGCCCGTCCCGGCCCCTAGCCGCTCGCGCGCCGCCCGTTCAGGCCCCTAGCCGCCCGCGCGCCGCCCGTCCCGGCCCCTAGCCGCTCGCGCGCCGCCCGTTAAGGCCCCTAGCCGCCCGCGCGCCGCCCGTCCCGGCCCCTAGCCACCCGCGCGCGCCCGTCCCGGCCCCTAGCCACCCGCGCGCGCCCGTCCCGGCCCCTAGCCGCCCGCGCGCGCCCGTCCCGGCCTCACACCGCTGCACGCCGCCGTCCCGGCCCCCCCAAGCCGCCCGTTAGCCGCCGTGCAGCCTGAGCCGCCCGAGCCGTCTGCACAGCTGAGGAGCCGAGCCGCCCGAGCCGCCTGTGCCGCTGACTGCCCGAGCTGCCCGAGCCGCCTGAGCCGCCCGAGCCGCCCGAGCCGCCCGAGCCGCCTCCCCCCCCCCCCTTTTCCCGTCGCCTGTCGAGGCGACCTGAGGGGGGCCGCGACAGGCGACGGGAGAGGCCAGCTGAGGGGTGGCAGGTGTGTGGTCTCCCCTGCTTCTCCTCCTCCTTCGTCTCGAGCCGCCCTGCGGCCGAGCCGCCTCGCCGCCGAGCCGCTTTACACCCGAGCATCCCAGCAGCCGAGCCGCCCTGCAGCCGAGCCGCTCTACACCCGAGCCTCTCAGCAGCCGAGCCGCCCTACAGCCGCGCCGCCGGGTCGCCGAGCTGTAGTTGCTGCCGAGCCGCCCTGCTGCCGAGCCGCCCGAGTCGCCCGAGCCGCAGAGCCGCCGTGCTGCCGAGCCGCTGAGTCGCCGAGCCTACTCTACCCACCACTGGTGAGCCCCTGCCCTGCTAGCACGCTGCGCGTCGCCTGCTTGCCTGCCTGCCTCCCTTTTTGGCTTGCCTGGCTGCCTGCCTTACTGCTGCTACTCCTGCTCCTGCCTCTACTGGTGGAGCCAGATGCGGCCCCATCGACGTCTGCGTGAGTCCCTCACTCCCCAGCAGCTGCGTAAGTGGTACGCTGGTTGGGGCTGTAGGGGTGGTGGCGCTACTACTGCTACCACTCCTGCTGCTTCTACTACTGGTGGCGGCCAGATGCAGCTCCCGCGACCCCCCCGCGCGTCTCTCACGCCTCAGCAACTTCGTGAGTGGTACGCTCAGAGTGGAGGGTCTCTCAGTTCTGTTCGCTGCTCTTACGTGATTCTCACTGGTGCTCGGACTGGTCAGCCTTGTGGGACACCTAGTCATACACAGTCCCGCTGCTTCGCCCGTCTGAGCGACGCCTGGCGTACCGTGTTTGGCGACGAGGCTGAGCTCCCCGACTGGGTGGAGTTGCTAAGGCAGAGGGTAGATATATTTGCTCTTGACTATGATGCTATTCTCACTGCCATGTATGCATTGCCTACTAGTGCTGACCATGCCGGTCACCTGTGCGTACCGCCTGACCCGGGTATAGGACCTGCTGCTCTAGCTACTGGTGAGGCTGCTGCTGCTCTGGGTGCTAGTGAGTCTCCTGCTCCAGGTACAGGTGCGGCTGCTGCTCTAGGTGCTAGTGAGTCTGCTTCCTCAGGTGCGGGTGAGGCTGCGCTCTCAGGTACCACGTTGGCTTCGGCCTCCCTCACCTTTACACTTGACTCTTGGGCTTCTCGCTCCTTCTTTCGGGACCGCACCACACTCACGCCGCTTAGTCGGCCTGTTGCAGTCTCCCGGGCTGACCCCTCTGGGGGTCCTGTCCTCTCTCGTTTTTCCACTGTCCTCCCGTGTCCAGCTGCCCCCTCGGGCACCCTGACTGGCCTGTACCTCCCCTCGTTCTCGACGAACTTGGTGAGTGGTGCAGACCTGCAGGATGCGGGGGTTCACCAGTTCACTCCTGCGAGTCAGCGGGTGACCCACTGCACGGACGCACGCACAGGCTGGCACCTGGCCACGTTCTCGCGTCGGCCGGGGTCGAGCCTCTACACCCTGACCACTGAGTCTCCTCCTGTCCCTGCGTCCAGTCAGGTAGCAGCGTCAGGTCAGGTGTTTGCTGCTGCGTCCAGGTCTGGTCCTAAGTCTGCCCCCTGCTCGTGTCGCCTCTTGTCTCACGAGACTCTCCTGTGGCACCACCGTCTTGGCCACCCCTCCTTGCCCCGTCTTCGGGGCATGGCTTCCCGTGTCCTTGTCTCTGGTCTTCCCCAGTCTCTCCCTCCCCTTCCTTCGGGAATAGGACCTTCCTGTGTCCCCTGTGTCGAGGGGCGCCTCAGGGCTGCTCCTCACTCCTCCTAGTTTCCCCCGACAGAGGCTCCTCTGCAGACACTTCACATGGACGTGTGGGGCCCGGCCCGCGTCCGTGGGCAGGGTCACGAGCGCTACTTCCTGTTGGTGGTTGACGACTACTCGCGTTACACCACAGTCTTCCCCTTGCGCAGCAAGGGTGCTGTCACTGAGGTGCTGATCGACTGGATCCGCGAGGCTCGTCTCCAGCTCAGGAGGAGCTTCGGCTCGGACTTTCCTGTTCTGCGTCTGCACTCTGACCGAGGTGGGGAGTTCTCCTCTCGCCTTCTGCGAGACTACTGTCGTGCACAGGGGATCCGCCAGACCTTTACGCTTCCGGACTCTCCACAGCAAAATGGGATTGCTGAGCGCCGCATTGGCATGGTCATGGATGTCGCTCGTACGTCCATGATGCATGCGGCTGCCCCCCATTTTCTGTGGCCGTTTGCGGTTCGTTACGCGGCGCATCAGCTCAACCTTCACCCCAGGGTCTCTCGGCCCAATATGTACCCAGTGTTACTGTGGACGGGGAAGGTCGGCGATGCGTCTGCGTTCCGTGTCTGTGGATCTCGGGCGTTTGTCCGCGACTTGTCTGCGGACAAGCTGTCCCCCCGTGCTGCTCCTTGTGTCTTCCTTGGCTTCCCCCCTGACGCTCCAGGGTGGCAGTTCTACCACCCCTCCTCTCGTCGTGTTCTGTCCTCCCAGGACGTCACGTTCGACGAGTCAATCCCCTTCTACCGCCTCTTCCCCTACCATACTCCTTCCCTCCCCCCCCCACCGGACTTCCTGGTGCCAGTTCCCCCCCCGGTAGACCCCCTCCCCCCTCAGGTTCCTGCCCCTTCAGGTGTGTCCCAGGTAGACACAGTCGAGCCAGTCGAGGTTGCTGCTGAGTCTGGTCCTGCTGCGGGTGCAGAGTCTGGGGGTGCTACGCCTGCGGGTGCTGAGCTTGGGGGTGCTGCTGCTGGGGGTGCTGCGCCTGGGGGTGCGAGGCCGGGGGGTGCTGCTGCTGGGGGTGCTGAGCCGGGAGGTGCTACGTCAGGAGCTGCTGAGCCTGGGGGTGCTGAGCCTGGAGGTGCGGAGCCTGCGACTGCTTGACCTAGGGGCTCTCCGGTTGCTCCGTCTCGGCGGGAGCCGCTCTCTCCACAGGAGCTGCGCGAGTGGTTTGCTCGCCGCTGGAGGCGTGCTGCTGGAGCTGGAGCTCCTTCGACTGCTGAGGGTGCTGGTGCTGCCGGTCCCGGAGCTGCTGGGCCTGCGGGTCCTACTGGAGCTGGAGCTGCTGAGCCTGGGGGTGCTGAGTCTGGAGCTGCTGAGCCTGGGGGTGCTACGTCTGGAGCCGCTGAGCCTGGGGTTTCTCCTGGTGCTGCGTCTCGGCGGGAGCCCCTCTCTCCACAGGAGCTGCGAGAGTGGTTTGCTCGCCGCTGGAGGCGTACTGCTGGAG